GAATTTTCGGGTCATTCTGGTTTAATTCACTTATAGAATTCAACATTGTTTGGTATATGCTTTGAATACATGTGTTGATTCATCGGAGTCATTTCATTCTTAGTCTCTAAACTGGTTCCATGATGTTTTGGCTGCTGTTGTGCAGGTTGCTAGTACAGGTTTTGTCTCTCAGTCTGTTCAATCTTCTGTTACTGCACAATGGAGTTCTAATGCAGCAACCCCCTTAAATATTAATAATCCCATGCCTCAAGCTTTGCCAATGCTACTAAATCCGCCTTTTGGTCGACCAGGAACACTAGTCCCTTCTGGATTAATGACGTCTCCGCCTGCTTTTCCTGGTTCCAACCCTTTTTCTGCAGCTCCAAGACCCGGGATGTCTGCTGGCCCTGCTCAAATCAATCCTGGTATTCATCCGCACATGTATCCTCCATGTCATTCACTGCCTACAATGCATGGAACACCGCACGGAATGTGGTTGCAGCCTCCCCCTATGGGTGGTATTCCCAGGGCACCTTTTCCTTCACACCCTACTCCTTTTCCTGGTTCTTATCCGTTTCCACATCGTGGAATCTCTCCTAATCTACCATATTCTGGTTCTCAACCGCTTGGGGCCATTCCTATGGGAAGTCCTGGCACTGTTCATGCGTTACCAGGTCATCAGCTTGATATGTCTCCCGGGCAAAAGACAGAAGGACTCTCAGGAATCGGTACGCTCGAGGTTTCATGATAGATTACTGATCCATGTAAGAGCTGTTTGACCTTTATGGTTATTCCGTTTAGTTTACATACCCTTTATCAGGATCTTCTTGTATTTTGCAGATGACAGAGCTGGTTCTCAACTAGTAGGAAATCGGGTAGATGCCTGGACTGCACATAAATCAGAAACTGGAATTGTTTACTATTATAACTCGGTGACAGGGCAATCGACCTATGAAAAGCCTCCTGGTTTTGAAGGGGAGGTGGGTTATAGCTAATTACATGGCTTGTTCATTAGTTGAGACTACTACTGCTTTATACAGTGTCATATTCAACCTAGTTTGCTTAACGATATGTCACTTAGGAGTTTGTGTCCACAATAGGATTTTGCATTTTGTTATCTGTGAGTCCATGGTTTAAAATTTCAGTTGTGCTTCAAATATTTATGAAAGTCCCAAGAAATCGTATGTTCATTAGCTGCTGAAAAATGGTTTTCAGTGTTTGTCTAAAACAATTTATTGTCTGTTCTCGGTGCCTCGTTATGGTATTGCCATCCGTATTTAGTATCCAAATTTGTTTTATATAAGATTACTGCACTAGTTGAACTTTATTATTATTAGTTGCAAAGTTGCCTAACTTTGCATTGCCCCAAGTTACTTTATCACAGTGAACTTGTTGTAAGAGTAGTGAACGGTTACACAATCCACCTTAACTTAAGTTGTTCACATGCGGTAAATGTGGGCTGCTTGCTATTTGATGCTAGTGCAAAAACTTATGGAGGACATTTGTCTGAGTATGCTTTGATAATGTATGCATAGAGTATATTCATGTTGCCCTAGTCTGTTTAGAAATTTTTGAGCAATTTATAACCTACTCTTTTTGTTTAACTTCTGCAGCCTGATAAAGTGCCGGTGCAGCCAATTCCTGTTTCTATGTAAGTTCTTAGATTGAGATCATAAGTTTCTCTGATTAAACTTAGTTATCGTGTTTAGGTTGGTTCTGCGTGAGACTTTATATTGTTATATATATCGTGTATAAAAATCTTCTACTAGGTTGCCAACAATTTCATACTCATGAAATCAACAGATTTATATTTTGTTACATCACTTTCAGCCTGCTAAAATATTTAGTACAGGTTATAGATATCTCATCTATCTTGTACCAAATGTAGGGAGAATTTACCTGGGACAGATTGGGCTCTTGTGTCCACAAATGATGGCAAAAAGTATTACTACAACAATAAAACAAAGGTAAATGAATGTAAAGAGGAGGCAACGTTTTATTGGCTTTAGTGTTCTGTTAATCTATATGTTTCTGTTAGACTTTGAATCCTCCAATTTCCTGGATCAGGTAAGCAGCTGGCAAATTCCGGTCGAGGTGAAAGATTTGGTGAAGAAACCAGAGGAGAGGTCTATGGAGAGTTTAGCTTCTGTGCCATGTGCTGATTTAACTGAAAAGGGTTCTGATCAATCAAGTTTGAATGCACCTGCTATTAGCAATGGTGGTCGGGATGCCACATCTCTCAGAACTACAAACTTTTCTGGTTCCTCAGCACTGGATTTGGTTAAAAAGAAACTACATGACTCGGGAGTGCCTGTCTCATCTACGACAACATCTGAAGCAAATGTTGGTAAAGCAATTGAGGTCACACCAAGTGGAGAAAGTGGAAATGGTATGGGTAAGGTAAAAGATGCTCCTGGAGCTGGTGACCTTTCTGATTCTTCTTCTGATTCTGAAGATGAAGAGAGTGGACCATCAAAGGAAGAGTGTAACAAACAGTTTAAGGTATTATGTGGTTGGATGTGTGAATAGTTCTTTCTGTCTTTTTTTTTGTCCTTTTCAACGTAGGGTTTGGTATATGTTTCTTTTTCTCATGTTTTTCTTTCTGCACGTTAATTTTAGCCATTCTGATGCTTAAGTCAGTCTAGAGAAGGAGAAAAGAAGATCGTGCATTGTAATTTTATTTGGTAGATGGATCTTGTTGGAATATTGGAATGCTTTGCATGTTTAAGTACCATTGATAATGGTGCACCTTCTAGTGGAAATTTTCAATTTTGGAAACCGTGAAATTATTCAGATTGATGTTTAGTTTCTAGGTTACTTGACTAGGTATTTAGTATCTCGTTTCTTATTCCTTTGTCATTGATAATTTTTCAGGAAATGCTCAAGGAGAGAGGAGTAGCACCGTTTTCTAAATGGGAGAAGGAACTGCCAAAAATTATCTTTGACCCTCGCTTTAAGGTCTGTTAAGTCTAACGATCATAACAATATTTTGATATCTTACCATTGTAATATTATATTATGCTCTATTTTCCTTACATGATATTAATTGTTTATCCGCGTCACCCATCATCTGTTCTGCTGCAACTTCGTTCTTTGTCATCTCATTGAAATGCTGAAGATTTTAGTGTTGTGTTCATCTGACATGTTATAGTGCCACAGTGTGCACTGTGGAGTGTGGACTTTTTTGATGATGTATTTTTTATTTAGAGAGTTTGCTTTTCTTGCAGGCAA